CCAGCCGGCACTGTCTGGCCGACGGCACCCTGAGGAGACCCACTCTATGGGAGCGTACAGGTCGATGGGAGGTAATCTGCGGCAGGAGGCGGTCTCGAAGGTATCCGGGTCCGATGCCATGGAGCGCTTTAAAGATGATAGTCAGCACCTTGAAGCGCACCTGGAAGGCCACAGGCAGCCAATGCAGCTCGCGCAGCAGTGGTGTCACGTGGGAACGTCGAGTCCCCCCCAACACCGCCTGTCTTGACCTTGCATCCCTGTCTTGACCTTTCTTCTTATTCCTGCATCAGCTGAGTATTTTTGGCCTAGTCTCACATTCGCTACCTGATTTTTTTTAAAAAAAAAATAAACGTCCCTGTTATGATGGGTGAAGGGTTTGTGCATCCTTACCTAAAGAAAAACCACTTTTACCCAATTTTGGATGAATTTATCCAGGCTCGCGAATTACTGGCCTAATCAAGAATTCCCGCCGGGGACCACCACCACGCCGATCTGCTTCAGCCCTTTGGGACGTTCAGATAAACGCCAGCAGCGCTCTGAAATACAGCCGACCCGAAAGGAGACCGGCAGCCCGAGGCCCCGAGGCTCCGACCGCCACCCTTGCGCGTTGAGCGCCTTGGCCTAGGGTTGCCAGGTGTCCACTATTTGAGTGGACAGTCCACTTTTTTCACATTATGTTCACTATTTTTTTTTCACAAAATAGTGGACATTTTTTTTTATTCAAAAGCTTTATGATGAAATGGTACATAATCTAAAGCTGTACAGTCTACTTTTTTTACTACTTAACCCCCCCCCTCCCGCTTGTCCGCTATTTTTTGGAAGCAGACCTGGCAACCCTACCTTGGCCGCGATCCACGGCTGCCCAGCGGCCGCCGGCGCGTCTCAGCCGCCGAGTCACGAGGAAGCCGCCTGATTGTTTCCTCTTTCGCAACCGCTTCCCGCTCTCGCAATCCCGGGCAAACCCGTCGGCCTACCTGCAGCGGGCCAAGGCGGGGCGGCTGCTCTCTTCGTCCCCCATGACGTCGCCGCTTCCGCGGGCCTTGCGCTATCTCGTTCCTCTCTCCTGCAGCGCGGGGCGCAGTCCTTCAGCTCTCCGGGCAAAGCAGAGAGGTCCCGCCCGGCTCTGCGCGCTCCTTTCCCGGCGACTCTCGCAAGAGGCGGCGGCTTGAAGCTGAGCTTGGGGATCGTCATGGCCGGGCGCGACCTCTCCTCGCTCGCCCTCTGGCTCCTGCCGGGGCTGCTGGTGGCGTGCGTGGACGCCGCCGGCCTCTACTTCCAAGAAGGTCAGAGCTGCTACAAGCCGCTTCCGCGCAACCTCCCCGGAGTCCGGTAAAAGCGGAGACGCGCAATCGCTCCAGCTTGGGATGCGTCGGCGGGAAGGCGGGAGAACGGATGCTTTTGGGGGTGGGGTGGGGTGGGGGAAAGCTCTCGCTGAGCCGGTCGGAAGGGCTTTCCCGGAATTGTCAAGGTCCAAGAAAAAGGGGAGCTCGAGGATGCGGGAGCTGGAGAGTAGCTCTCCCCAGTCGGAGCAAATTGAATGCATTGGAATTACAAAACGCAGAATTCCCAACCGGCATGGAATTGGGGCGGTGATCTGGCGCGGCTGGAGATTATAGGCAGGGGGAGGCAGGGTATAACAGACTAACAGAGTTGGAAGGGACCTTGGAGGTCTTCTAGTCCAACCCCCTGCTCAGGCAGGAAACCCGGCCTAGACCATTTCAGACAAAGGAGTTTCTTGCAAATGTCCAGCGTTGGAGCGCGTGTTGGGTATTCCGGCCCGTCCGGCCATCCTCTTGCCGGTTCCTCAGCATCTGTCCTCGCTTTGGGGGACGCGGGCGATCCCGAAGCGGCAGCTGGACGGAGAGAGGAGAGCCTGAGATCTCCGCTCAGCGGGCTCGGGGCAAATCCATAGGCTTTTTTCCCCAGTGGCCTGGGAGCCTCCCTCGCTTTTCGGGCTTTGGGTGTTCCCGGGGGAGAACATGGGGAGGGGGAGAGGACGTGGTGGGGAATGTCGGCTGCAGCCGCTGTTTGGGCACATCGGACGAACCATCGCCGGTCCAACAAAACTGTTTTCGTGGAGCGGATGCCTTAACCGGGAAGGTGGCACCGTTTCAACCCGGGTTCATACCACCTTACTTGACCCTGAAATTGCCTAGCGGGGTTCTGCAACCGTTGGGTCTCCCAACTTACAAAGAAAAGGTTTAAAAAAAAGGTAATCCCTTCTACAACTTTCTGAGTATCTTGAGAAACAACTGTGATTTAAAATAAATCCATTTATACACGTGGGAAAGAGAGAGGGAATTAGAGAAATGGGCATTTTGCTTCTGGGTCAGATTGGGGCTCAGCAGCAGAGTACAGTGCACTGCATATAAAAAAATAGAAATTTGTAAAGGGATTGAATCTCAAATTATTCCTGTGACATCTCAGAACTAGGCAAATGTTCTGCCTAAAAACATGGACTCCTTGTGCTGATCAGGGTTGATCAATTTCTCAACCTGGGTAACTTTAAGAGGTGTGGACTTCAACTCCCAGAATTCCACAGCCAATATTGGGAAATTCACCCACCAGCTGAGGAATTCTGTGAGTTGTCCACACATCTTGAAGTTGCCCAGGGTGAAAAAAAAATTGCTGGAGATGTGGCTCAGTGCTGGATGGATCCATAACAAAAGGCAGCTTCTTATAAGTTGAAATATAAAATAGCAGTTAAAAACTTTACAGCCATGAAGTTTACTAAGGGCGTCTCCCCACCTCCAGTTTATAGTTATAGTTCTCTCAACCAATCCTTGCTATCAGCAAAAAACTATCCAGCCTGAAACTGGCTCTCTTGCCCCTTGTTCCAGTTCAGGGTCCTCACCTTATTTCCCTCCAGGTATTAGGAAACAACTGTGTATACCTTGAAGTTGAGCCCTTAGATCAGGGGTGTCAAACTTGCAATGTCACATGACATGTTGCGATGTATTGTGATTTTTTTTGCCATTGCCGGCAATAGGGTGGGCGCAGTTTCGCTATGAGGCATCCAGACCGCAGGCCAGCAGTTTGACACCCCTGCCTTAGATGATGGCTAAATACGGAAGGAAAAGCTACATCAATAGCTGTTCAGCCAAGACTGACTCTCATTTATGGTCTGGGAACAGCTGACGTTAATATAATGGAGATAATCACAGAAAAAAGATGTTGGGTAAGGACATGGGGACAGTCAGCCCAAGCAGAACACAGCCCAAGCAGAACACAGACAAGCATCTGATCTTTAGGCAAGGAGTAATACCTGATGATCACATCGTTTTGGCATTTGTTCAACATTTAACTCTCTAGTCCTCAACCTAGGATGAATAGAGCCCAAAATTTCTGTTGCAAAACGAGACAGTTGTTAAAAGTTTTGCCACATTTTACGACCTTTCTTGACCCAGTTGCTAGGTAAATCACTGCAGTTGTTAAGTTAGAAAACGTAGTTGTTACGCGAATCTGGCTTCCCCATTGACTTTGCTTGTCAGAAGGTCACAACAGGTGATCACATGACTCTGGGGCACTGCAACCCTCATAAATAGGAACCAATTTCCAAGCAGCCAAATTTTGATCACGTCACCATGGGGACCCTGCAGTGGTCATAAGTGTGAAAAATAGTCATGTTTTTCAGTGCCATTGTAACTTTAATAATAATAATAGTAGTAGTAGTAGTAGTAGTAGTAGTAGTAGTAGTAGTAGTAATAGTAGTAAAGTTGGAAGGGACCTTGGAGGTCATCTAGTCCAACCCCCTGCTCAGGCAGGAAACCCTATACCATTTCAGACAAATGGCTGTCCAGTCTCTTCTTAAAAAACTTCCAGTGTTGGAGCATTCACCGCTTCTGGAGGCAGGTTGTTCCACTGGTTAATTGTTCTCACTGTCAGGAAGTTTCTCCTTAGTTCTAGGTTGCTTCTCTCCTTGATCAGTTTCCATCCGTTGCTTCTTGTCCTGCCTTCAGGCGCTTTGGAAAATAGCTTGACTCCCTCTTCTTTGTGGCAGCCCCTGAGATATTGGAACACTGCTATCATGTCCCCCCTCGTCATGATTAGTTACTAAATGAATGGTTGTAAATCATGGGCTACATGTAATAATTTATGGGAACAAAAATAGAGAAGTGGGATTCCTACGAAACTGCTAATTCATGAGAATCATCAGAATGCAAACCAGTCACACCCTAGAATTTCATATATCAGTTTTCTTGAAAGAAGAAGTCCTTCCCAAAGGTCTGTCAAATGCCCTGTGTCTACCAAGCAGGCTTGGTCTCCTTGGGACCATAAAACATATATTTGTTTCTAGGTGATCCTTCTGAGTTGCACACTGTTAATTACATACACAATGCATTGCAGCTTGCTTCTCCTCAGGATAATTAAGCTATATTTCCTATCTTTCTCAGCCAGCATGGCTGCTGGATATTATGGGTGATATAATTCAAAACATCAATCAATCAGAATAGAGCTGGAAGGGACCTTGGAGGTCTTCTAGTCCAGCCTCCTGCTCAAGCAGGACATCCTATACCATTTTAGACAAGTGACTGTCCAGTCTCTTCTTAAAAGCCCCCAGTGATGAAGCGTCCACAATGTCTGAAGGCAAGCAGTTCCACTGGTTAATTGTCCTCACTGTTAGGAAGTTTCTCCTTAATTCCAGGTTGCTTCTCTCCTTGATTAGTTTCCATCCATTTTTTTCTTATCTTGCATTCTGGTGCTTTGGGAAATAAGTGGACCCCCTCTTCTTTGTGACAGCCCCTCAAAAACTGGAATACTGCTGTCATGTCCCCGCTAGTCCTTCTTTTCTCTAGACTGGCCATAGCCAATTCCTGCAAATGTTTTTGTCTCCAGGCCCTTAATCATCTTAGTTCAGTGGTGGCGAACCTATGGCACGGGTGCCACAGGCAGCACTCAGAGCCTTCTCTATGGGCACGCGCGCCATTGCCCCAGTCCTATGCTACCAGCTGGGTTTTATAAAACCTTTTAACTTTAGGCCTCCGCCACCGTGTACAAAAAAAAAAAGGTTCAATCAATCAGTCAAAAAAGATCTTGCAAAGTTGGAATTGATTGATTGAACTTTTTAGTCCCACCCAGTCTGCTGTTACCACCGCAGCCACGCCCACCCAATGGATCACACCCACCCAATGGGCCACACCCACCCGGCACCCAACGATACATAAGTAGGTTTTGGGTTGCAGTTTGGGCACTCGATCTCTAAAAGGTTCGCCATCACTGTCTTAGTTGCTCTTCTTTGCACTTTTTCCAAAGTCTCAATGTGGAGTGGGCCAGTTGGGAAGGTGACCCCCCCTCTTGTTTCTATCCTTTTGCAAATTTTGATATGTTAAAAATTTTTGCTGTTCCAAGATGTTCCCCTCCCCCTTCTGGAATTTTGCAAAACAGGCAAGAGAACAAAGTCCATCTGAGAACTTTAGAAAATAGTTGAGGTCATCAGGAAAAAAGGCATCTCGTGATCAAGTCACTTCCTTTCTGCCTAAGTTATTTCACAAACAGTCAATGAATCAACTGAAGTGGGAATTATATCTGCTGCTTAGACTGGTTTAGACTTGGTCATAAATCAAAGCAAGC